AGCTGTCTTTGCTAAAGTGAATAAAGAGTTCAAATCGGGAAAGGGCCACTGTTACGATTTCATCGAAGATAAAGGATTGCTTTATCGACGCTACCGCCTTGCCACTGGCAGGACGTTTAAACAGCTGGTCACTCCGAAAGCGTTCCGGGTAGGCATACTGGACATTGCTCATGGCAGTATCATGGCGGGACACCAAGGCATCAAAAGAACTACTGATCGTGTCCTAGAAGAATTTTATTGGCCTGACCTGAACGGAGACGTAAAGCGCTTTGTCAAGTCTTGCGACAAGTGCCAGAGAACTACCCCTAAAGGAAAAGTTGGAGTCGCACCACTAGGCAACATGCCTCTTATCCGGACACCTTTTGAAAGGGTCGCGGTTGATTTAATCGGCCCATTTTCACCAAGATCGGACCGTGGGAACCGATATGTTCTGACACTTATCGATTTTGCGACTCGCTACCCTGACGCTGTAGCATTGCCCGCAATCGATGCAGTTCACATTGCGGAAGCACTCATCGAGATTTTTTCCCGCATCGGCTTGCCAAAGGAAATCGTCACCGACCAAGGGGCAAGTTTTACCTCAGAATTAATGAACGAGGTTAGCAGGCTTCTCTCCGTGAAGATGCTAAAGACAACCCCATATCATGCGATGGCGAACGGTCTCGTGGAGAAATTTAATGGCACCCTGAAGACAATGCTAAAGAGAATGTGCCAAGAGAGACCTCGATCTTGGGACAGGTACCTAGCTCCGCTACTCTTTGCATATAGGGAAGTTCCACAGACAAGCCTCGGGTTCTCTCCGTTTCAGCTCATTTACGGCCGCCACGTCCGAGGACCGCTAACCGTGCTGAGAGAACTGTGGACAAATGAGGGGCTAGACGCAGTAACGCGGACGACTTACACCTACTTCTTTGATTTGCGCAATCGCCTAGAGGAGACTTGCAAGATAGCCCATGAACAGCTGGAGAAGGCTCGTGTGAAGCAGAAAACCTATTATGACAGGAAAAGTCGCCCTAGAAGATTATGCCCAGGCAACAAGGTTTTAATTCTGCTCCCGACTGACTCCAACAAGCTGTTAATGCAGTGGAAAGGGCCGTTCCAAGTCATCGAACGGAAAAATGATGTCGACTACGTCATCGATGTGTTTGGGAAAAACAAGATTTTTCATATCAACATGCTCAAAAAATACGAAGAGCGCGAAGTGACGGAACCACAACAGGTGTCAGTTGTTGCAGAGCTCCACGAAAATCTCCCCGAAGAAGAAGACGAAGTCAAACAAATGCCCATATTGAGCTTGTATCGCACGCAGTTCAGCACGGATGTCAAGCTATCATCACACCTCACTGCTGAACAAGTTCAGAATGTGCAAGCACTTTTTCAAGAGTATGCGGACATTTTTTCTGACTTACCAGGGAAAACAGCACTCGTGGAGTGTTCGCTACGTCTGACCTCCAATAAGCCTGTGCATGTTCCGCAGTACCCCATCCCCCTTGCCTTGCAAGAAAGAGTAGAAAAGGAAGTGCAAGAGATGCTGAAACTCGGTATTATTGAGCGGTCTCAGTCGCCGTACCACGCTCCCATTGTCGTGGTGAAGAAACCGGACAACACGATTAGGCTGTGCATAGACTTCAGAGAATTGAACAAGATTCTGGTCCCCGACTGCGAGCCAATACCACGCATCGATGTAGTTCTTGCACTTGTTGGACAAAAGCAGTTTTTCTCCAAATTTGATTTCACGAAAGGATACTGGCAAGTACCGATGGATCCAAACAGTCGTGAAAAAACTGCTTTCTCCAGCATGTCTGGGCACTATCACTTCCTCTACATGCCTTTTGGCATTAAAACGGCGCCAGCAGTATTCACGCGCCTTATGAGATCAGTACTGGGTGGTGTTGACAACGTTCACCATTATTTCGACGATGTCATCATTGCGACCGATACTTGGCAAGAGCACATCGACACCCTCAGACAAGTTTTTGAACGAATTAACCAAGCTCACCTCACCATAAAACCAAGTAAATGTGAGACAGGAGAGCGAAGCATATCCTTCTTGGGACATCGAATCGGGGAGACTACAGTTGAACCGCTTCTCAAAACGCTAGACAAGATTCTTGCCGCAAAACGACCTACAACCAAGAAAGCAGTGCAGTCGTTTCTTGGCTTGACCGGCTATTACAGGAAGTTTATACATAACTACGCCGAACTGACCAAGCCGCTGACGGATCTTACAAGAAAGGGACAAAGCCACACTGTTTCATGGGGCGCACATCAAGAGGAAGCGTTTACGGCCCTCAAGAAGAAGCTCGGTGATGCTCCCATCCTCCTTGCTCCCGACCTCTCGAAGGAGTTCGTTCTTCGTACGGATGCCTCCAATACAAGCCTGGGCGCAGTATTGCTCCAGATGGGAAAGGGCCAGGTGCTGCATCCAGTTGCTTACGCAAGTCGTAATTTATTGCCCCGAGAAACCCACTATTCAACAATAGAACGGGAATGCCTTTCACTTGTTTGGGCAGTGCAAAAATTTCATATTTACCTCTATGGCAAACCTTTTGTCATTCAGTCAGACCACCAACCATTACAGTATTTAAATTCCGCCAAACACGTGAACAATCGAGTGTTGAGGTGGAGTCTCCTTATGCAGGAGTACTCATTCACAGTTCATTACATCAAAAGTTGTGACAATGTTGGAGCCGACTACTTGAGTCGCGCATAACTGCCGTTTAGGTAGCAACGTGGTTCTTAATACTACTAGCCCTCAGTCGTGAATAGTTGACTCCTAGTTGCGACATAGCAACCCTACTTTTACGGTAGTTTTCCAACAGAACTGTAAGCAGCCTTCTGTGAACATTCTGCTACTATGTACATGCAACCCCTAAGACAATGCAGTGCAGTGCAGGGACCGTGCAGTGACCGTGCAGTGCAGTGACCATTCGTTCGCCCCGCGCCCTTGTAGTAGAATAGTTGCAAACAACTTTCTCGGAAAAGGGGGTGATGTCATAATATGTGCTGCGCGGGCGCGAAACAGAAACTAAAAAAACGACAATAGTGTGCCGTGCGGTGGCGAAGAGGATGTGATGTGTGCGTGTATGTGCCGGGCGGTGCCTACGAGGAAGACGACAGATCGTGAGGCGCGGCCTCGAGCGTGGGTGACCCGTGCCTTCGGCAGTGCGCGAGGTACGTCGTTCGAGGCAGGACTACCTCGTTGGGCGTCTGGCCCATAGGTACGACCCAGGCCACGTCGCGACACTCGTACCAGCCGAGTGGACAGCTCAGCCTCCGCTAGACGACGGGTCTAGGAGAGCTGGCGCCAGGTTCCTGAAGCGGTCCTTGTCCCGCTAGTCGTGGAGAGCTGGCGCCGGGTGCCTGAACCTGCCCTTGCGCCGCTGTTCCAGGAGGGCTGGCGTGGGTTTCCGAGGCGGACTACAGGTGCTCAAGGGCACAACTCCCTGCCGCCGGAACACGTGGGTCGTCGGCTCCGGTTCGTCGACAGTGGCGCTGAGCCACTGGAGTTCGACGTGGCGACCCTGCGTCTCCCGACTTCGTCACGGCAGGTGACGACGCCGCCCAACGTCGACTTCGCCACTGAATCCTGGCCGACGGGCGACGCCGCCCAACGCCGACTTCGCCACTGAATGGTGCCGACGGGACATCAACGACGGCCCAGGCTACTACCCCGACGACCTGAACTGTAGGCCGAACGTTCTACTTATTCAGTTAGTTTAGCCGCGTGTTTTTGTGTTAGGAACTTCGTAATGTGTGGGTTGTCCATGTGTGAAGGGTACAATAGAAGTTGGACGTGTGTTTGTGCACTGGCGTGCTGTCTGATTCTTTCTGGAGCGGTCCTGCCCCAATAACATCACACTGTCATTGCACCAAGTCCGAATGACCGTGACCAGGAGCGTGCTTGTGTTACATAAGAGGATGGTTCTTCCGTACCTAGTGTGCTTGGTGAACAGGAAGGGAGCTGAAAAGCCGTTCTCACCTAGGGCCTTTTTTGTACATGATGAGGTCGGATTTGCTCAAGGAGAGCTTATAAAGAAAGCGTTCGTGGTGTCCAGAGCTTGCTGTTGTTTTGTCTCCGTAGTTGCTAGCGAGCAATTTACGGGCTATGTAGTGATGTCGTGTGCGTAAATTACTTGCCATGCGGCCGGATTTTTCAAGATTGTTGAAGAAATGGGACGTACAGATGCAAAAAGAGTAGCGGAGTACCGATATTGCATAGCCTGTGCTTTTGGCTTCTAGCTTCTCAGACTTTTCGGAAAGCTCGTTTACAGGAAATGAAAAAAAACTAGACAAAGCCTGCCTTGAGATTTTTACCAGTGCCATGCCTTCGAAACTTTACTACACGCAGCTGTATAGCTGTGTTTAAAGAGTAGCCTTACAAACATGGACATAGAAGAAATTGAACACACCACAAATTCTGCCTAATGCCCCACCAATCCATCGTCTCGACTTCTCTATTTTTGGTCCTTGTCAGTACGCCCACTCACTTTACATAGAATGTATTAACTAGCTCATCTGTGAAAGTCTAAGCAGTTGCGTACCTGAATTGCGAACATTGTTTGTGTAGTTGTCTGATTTCAGACGTTTGTTTTACTAACCCTGCTCTGGACTCTGGGAGAATAGTATAAATCACTGAAAATTAAAATAACAAGTCTTATTAGCGAGCACGTGAGTACCACCACTTTTGTCATATTCGTCTCAAAGTATGCAAGAACGTGGCACTGAGTAGAGCTCTCAATTTATAATTCCTCCATTCTGAAAGCAATTAAAGAGTAAAATATTGTCTATTGACATAAATATATTAAATTTCTTCACAACAACATTACTATCAAAATAAATAGCACATGGTTGCTGTCATGTGTTCTACACTTCCTGTCAATGTTGTCAGAGACATAAGCCACACAGTTACTTGGTACCGGAAGCGTTTCTTTATCAAGCCTTTCCCTAGTACCGAGAATTGTCTCACCCTTAGTATCAAATTCAACGTTACTTTGCAGCAAATTCTCGGCGCAGTGGGTGTCTACAGCTCCGCCATTGCCGTTTCAACAAGTAGGAATATTCTTTATTTTTTTCAATTTCTAGGAACAACTGCTAATATGCTAATACTTAAGACATTTTAGTGATCAGAAAGCAGGAAAGAAAAAGTGGGTCCTCTGGTATAGATCGCTACTGAATACCTAACCGGTCTTCAACCTAACCTCCCCTTTTCGCCTTTGCGCTGAGAGTTAGATGGTCAGAGTTAAGTCACGAATGGCTCAGATGCTAGATGTTTTGTCTTAGGGACAAAGTCTCATGTTAAAAAGTGATGCAAGTTATTCTTCAAGCCATCAATCACGTGATCCTAAGTATTCCGGCAGCCTATTATTTATTTAATTACGGATGCTCTCAGCCCTTACACAGGGCTATTACAGGAGTGGAGAAAAGTACATGGAAAAAATGGTGATCCTTCTAAGAACAGAACATAGCAAACAAATATAATCAGAAGTAAGAAATAAAAGAACAAGAATGAAGTTATCAAAAAAAAACTCAGCCAATAACGCAACCAAAAACTTAATCATTGAATGCACTGGAGCATGCAGAGACAAATAGAGCATTAATAGTTACAAAAGAGCATATGTGCTAGGCGCTGATATGAGCTGATAAACTTTTTGACTATTGGCTTTCATTTCTTTCTTTTAATTTCAGTGTTTCCAATACCAATGATGTATTCGAGCATCGCCATCGGCTTGGCGGGAACCATATACACGGCTCTGGTAATGGGTTTTTCACTGGCCTCCGAGGAAAACATTTATGAGAATATGCCACTGACGTTGCTGAATGCAACATTTCGTTTTACCGCTAATAATCAGTAATATTGCACTTTTCACGTGTTTTCAAAGGCTATCGTTGTTTTATTTTCCTGAGACCCAGAGTGAATTTAACTTCATGATTTTCTTAAAGTTTCAAAACTGGTTTCTTTGAGTGCAAGGTTGAAAATTGTCACATAGTTCTTCAATGTATATTATTTGGCCACAGCACGTTGTCTAATATATTGGACATGGGGACTCTGAGCGTACTTTTGGGGGGAACAGAGAGTGGGCTGTAGTTGAGGCCAGTGACAAAAAATAAAATATCTAGCTACACAAATATACTCTGCTTTGCTTCTTCCAAACCTAGAATCTATTTAAAATTAGTAACAGCCTTAAAAAGATATTTTTGCAGAAATCGCAGCATTGGCGTGATCATTGGCGTCATTGATTGCGAGCGAAAGATCAGCTTCACCACGACTGAAAAATCGAGAAATATATATGCAAATAAATTGAATAATGAAAATTGCATCGTCCTAGTGACGATTGTACACAGGCAGTTTTCCTGGTGAGCAGGTGTTCTACTACACAGCCACGCGTCTACTTGGAGAAACAGCGAAAGTAACTTCCTCTGGAAATCCAGTGAAAGTGCAATCGTGCCTTACAAACACACAAGTCGTGTATATGGGCTTCACGGTACAGCATGTAATATCGCAGTAGTAATGCTTGGTACAAGTGTGCATTACCATGGGTGTGACTGCTTTCAGAACTGCATATTAAATGACTCTATATGTTTTAAAGACGAGAGTCTTTGTTAGAGTACTTCGACAAAGTTTCGGTCTGTCTGTCTGTCTGTCTGTACATTTGTCTGTTTGTCCGCCAAAACAGTACTCCAAATGGTCAAAATTCAGCCCAATCCACAGCGCCCACTAATATTGCTCGAATTTCAGCGTTCGCACTTGTGCGATTGTCAAGTAAAAGTAAATATTGCACACATCTCAGACACAATAACAACACTCCGATATTCTGTATGTGTGTCTTTATACTATAGACGACATACGTAAATAATTCTTAAGGACCATAGCATTTACCGCGCTGCGTTGACAACGCAATGCTATGCAAAAAAGGCAAGTTTTTTCAAGGCTTTGCAGAGACGACACGCTGATGGCACCAGCCCGTTACTTTGCGTTGGACACCTTATCCCCTCCGAGACAGGCGCACACGCCTTCCTTCGTTTTCGAAGATAACTGCCAGATACCGCTCGCGTCTAACGTGCCTCAATGCGCTCCTTTGCCTTCGCTGCAGGGATCGATGCACTATAACGCAGCGTCTCCAGAATACAATTCATCAATTTTCTTGCGCAGAACATCAAATAAACGGTTTGTTCACTCTGTCCAGATGCAAGACCACCGCCTTTCGATGACATGTGCAGCGAAACATGTAGATACGGTGCCAAGTTTCTATTTCATATATATAACAATTGATCTTTCTTTTCTTGTTCCAGTCATTAGGTCCATTGCAGAAATAGGATTGCAAAAAGTGAACGGTCTCTCAGCCCGGAAGGCTTCAATGAAGATGAAGAAATGAGTAATAGTAATATTTGACGTACAAAATTTTCAGTACCATAAAAAAGAAAAAAAATGACTGAAAAAGAAGATGTCAGCTTAGTTTTCCCTTCCATAGTGAAGTGGCTGAGTTGTGTGCAAGGATGAGAAATGGGGCGAAAAGAAAACAGGGTCTGTCAAATCAACATGAAATATTTTACTGAGTGCAAGTCTGGAGCTATTTACTACAATCAGCTTGCATGTGAAAAACGTTTATGCAGGGCAGACAGAAATGTTTACTAGGAGTAGCACGCAGAAGAGGTGTAGAATGTACTGAATCTTTGAACAGACACCAGGGAAGCATTCTGGCTGCTACTTTACTCACTTACATGCGAAGAATGTCTAGCGAGCCCTTTGTTCGATCACATTATGATTTTGTAAAGGGGAAAGACAAAATGAGAACTGAAAGTTTTCTTGTTGTTTCACACTGTATATCATAAAAAAATTTTTACTGATTGCACTGATTACAAACTATCGTCCGATATCGCTCACTTCTTCCTGCTGTAAGATTCTTGAACATATTGTTGCAAAATACATAATTAAATTTTTAACAGAGAACAACATTCTTTCTTCATCTCAGCATGGATTCAGGAAGGGTTTTTCTACGGTCACACAACTAACCACTGTAATTCACAGTTTTGCAAGTATCCTTGAAAAACCTGGTCAAACTGACGTTTTTTTTTGGATTTTCAGAAAGCATTCGACTTTGTTTCACATGAAAAGTTACTTTGCAAACTAAAACACATTGGCCTCTCCTCTTTCATCATTAATTGGATTTCCGCCTACTTGAGCAATCGCACTCAATCCGTTTCTATTGATGGTCACCACTCGCGAAGTTTGCCAGTTACTTCGGGGGTACCACAAGGTAGTGTACTGGGACCGCTCCTGTTCTTCATTTTTAATAATGACATCGTTAATGTTATAACAGAGCCAGTTCAAGTTCGCTTATTTGCAAATGACTGCATATTGTATCATGAGGTTGTTTGTCGAGAAGATCAGGAACTTTTGAATACTAACCTCCATAACGTTCATTCATGGTGTAAACGATGGGACATGAAGCTTAATGAAAAAAAAAACCGTATACATGCATATAACAAAGAAAATTCATAAACGGCAGTTTTCTTACAGTCTTCCATGTAATCCCCTACTTCAGGTAAATGAATACAAATATTTGGGGGTGACCATTACTAAGAACCTCAGTTGGAATTCTCATATCGCTAACATTTGTGCTTCTCCTTTTCGCAAGCTTTGTATTCTGCGACACAAACTTAAACAGGCGCCCCCCGAAACCAAGCTTCATGCATATACATCGGTAATTAGGCCTTAGTTAGAATGCGCTTGCACCGTCTGGGATCCTCACACCAACCACAATACTAACGCTCTTGAAATGGTTCAGCGCAAAGCTGTTAGATTTATTTTTTCTAAATTCCGTTCCACCGATTCGCCAACAGCGCTCATGCAAACTCATGGAATACAAACATTGAAATTACGACGTAAATTACTCAGGCTCAAATTTCTTTTTCTTCTGAAGAATAACAAACTCTCTTTTCATCCTGGACCATATCTACACCCGTTATCAACTAGACTAACCTGACATCATCATCCTCAATCTTTAACTCCATATCATACAAGAACTAACACCTTCAAATTTTCTTTTTTCCTCGCACTATTAACGAATTGAACTCACTGCCATTATCATTGATTGATTCAGTTGAGTCAATTGACCTGATCAATTTCTCATAACCTAACATTGAAATTGAAATGTAAGCGTTTATTTTGTTTGTCTTTCGCCTTTTGAAATGCTGTGTTTTTGTTTTGCAATTTACCCCTCCTGCCTGGGCCCATGTGAGCCTGCAGTATGTTGTAAATATAAATAAAAAATAAATAAAAGGGCCAATTACGCTTTCGCGTAAATTAAGAAACAAAACGTTTTCTGTTGTGCTCACGATGAGTGTCAGAACATTTCAATCAGCATAATGGTTGTGTTAACGGCAAAGTTTATGTACCACATAATAAAATACGAGTATTGAAGCTTTAACCAGGACCACACTAAGTGGTTCTCGCGAAGTCATCGCATTGACGTAATGTATAGAGTCATCTCAAAACGGGCACGGGCAAAAGCAACGGGTATCGCTTTTACATTGATGTGAAGATGCACTCGATGACAGACATATTTAAGAATACTTGCATACAAGCGAGATGCATGCCTAATGCGGAACTTTTTTTCTCTGAAGGGTGGACTTCGTAGTGTCGTATGGGCCGATTGTGTTCAAGCATTGGTGATGTTTGCCTCCCCTTTCATTATTATTGGAAAAGTCATTTATGACTCATACTACGTAAGCCCTCCACTGAGGCCAATAGTGGACATCAATGTGACGGACTATGTATTCCGGTAAGGACATTGTGGAGCTTCTATGTAACACTTTTGTGACCGCGCCTATTCCCATCGAGAGTACCTTCTCGATGTTTACAACTTCAATATTAGTTTTGTTTCAAGTGCTTTTTTAACTTTTTACGCTATCTAACTTCTAAGAGGAGAAGTATATTAGGGGTTTCGCTTTTGTGTTTCTTTTTTTCACTACGTGAGGATTTAAAAGCGCCTTTCTATGTGCGCGGGTGAGCATGCGTTGTTTCCATACGGCACTGATGTCGCGTCTGACCGCTTCACATAAACGGTAAACTTCGGAAAATTCTTGCGCATCTAGGCAGGAATCTTCAAATGATGACATTAGCAGAGGCTTGGACGACGACATTGACGCTTTTGATTTCACCGCCGGTGACGAAATTTCATCAGACCACCCCGGGACATCAGCGGTCATCCACCGGTGAGTTAAGCTTCGTGCTGCGTTCGCGTTATTGTCGGTGTACGACGATGTAAGCTATTGAAATATGTTATGAAGGTTAGGGCTCTAATCTACGTGTTGTCCACTTCCTTCAGGTGGGACAACTTGCTGCAGCCAGCCCTGAGACTGCAATTTCGGGCGCGGAGGCAGCCAGGAGTGAACCTTGGAACCGCGTTCTGCAGCGCTGCCGACGTATTGCTATACGGGCGAAGTTCCTCTTAGTCTAACCAGGATTCGGAAACTCCTAAGTTCAAGTGATCACCTGTAGGGGCGAAAAAATGAACCACGGCGCGCATAAAATTAATATACAGACTGCCTGTGTATTAACTCATGGCGGTTCGTTTCTGCTTCAAACACCCAGAGTGGATCTACTAACCTCTCTTGCCAGTGGTGCTACTGCACTTCCTTTCAATTTTCTTTTAAAGTTTCAATTGCACTTTGAGCTTTCTTTCAAAGTTTCAATTTTAAAACGATCAAATACTACATATTTGCGTACCGCTACACCTAAAAACAACTTGTTCCTATAGCAAGTATTTTTCTTAAAAATGTGCTGTGTCATCAATTTTTGTAATAGTTTTTGCTCTTGCTGATTCGTAGTCAGCAGCAGCCTATCGACATCATTATCCTCATTTAAAATTTACGGTGGCCAATGGTAGCGACGGCAGGTAACGGCTCGCGGTACGTTCGGATGTGTCTCGGACTGTTTCGTTTCGCTGTAAATATTCCGAGCCACTGCCGACCGACCCACTCTTTCTTCTTGTGTTTATTTTGACTCGTTCAATTACTTTCGCGAAGGAAATTCAAGTGACTTCCGAGGAACAAAGCGACCGTTGAAGCTTTCATCGGATGAACACCCGTTGCAAGCCCGAGAATATTGGGCCGGTGAGTAAAAACCACATTTGTTTTTTAAGGATGGTTGCTCGCTGGGCCAGTTGGTTCATTTTAACTTATGTAGTTTTTTTGCCAATGACCACGTAGACGTCACTCCACGACATAGCATTGCAATAACAAATGTTTATGTTTTTTAACGTCTAAATATGTCACCTAAAAAACGTGCAATACTTCCGGCATGTCTTCACGTGGGAACGAGTCGGCGAGCCAATAGTTAATTCTGAAATTCTATCACCAAGTAACACAAACCAAGCCGTTGCAATGAAAGAAGGCAAATACATCACTGTAGCCTCGCATGTGTCTTCGTAGGAAACCCAAATATCAGTGCAAAAAACCTACTGGTCAACAGGTTACCGCAGTCGCACTTGAGAAACATAAATATGGGTGCGGTTTTGCTATAGTGTGACAAAGAATGTGTCACATGAATCAGAAATACATCTTATTTTGCCACAGCCTCCTGGCTTACCTGACATGAAAGCAGCTACGTGCAATGGGCAAGGAACCTGCTACATGACATGCCTTGTGAAGAAGCAGCCCCGAGTGATAAATGTGTTATGAGGTACCATTGCATATATGTATAAAATACTGCTGTTTACTTGTTATTTGAGTTTATTTGCTTTGAAAAAATTTCGGGCATTGGTATCTGGGGATGTTACTTGTTTTACAGACTACCATGCTATGACAGGATGACTACCCTGAATGTGCACGCTGCAAGCACGTTGAAACATCTGGATGTCCGCTAAGACAGGTCATCTCGAACCGCACGCATACAATGCTGTATTGGTGAATGTTTCACCACGCATATCGTGGAGGGGTACTTTATACTGGCCACAGGCATTGGCGGTCTACCGTGGCATAGAATCTACACTTCAATAACGTTGTAACTGTAACACTATTAGTTAGATTGTATGGCACTGCTGAGCTAAACAACAGAGGTTTGATCCCAACCACAGCGGCCATTTTCGATGGGAATGAAATGCTAAGACGCTTGTGTGCTTAAGGGTTTGTTCGACTCACCTACACCACATGATTCATTTTACAATGTGCTGCACCACACCCTTCCTTTTAGTGGTGCAGAAATAAAATCCTCTAAAGAGTGCCATCCATTTCAGAAAGCACAGGAAAGGTACAGTACTAAAACTAGTTCGTTATTTTCCTGTGCCTCTTATTCTGACGGCGCTGGTTTGGTGCAGCCACATGCACTGCTTAACAAAACACACAACATTAGGCGCAGGTGCCATACCCGCCCCTACAAACGCAGCATGTTTCGCCAAGATGTTTGCACCACAATAAATATAGCGAACAAAAATTAGGATGCCACCTTGTCGGCACCTTCTCATTCACTTGTCATGCCGCACTGCTGAACTCGTGTTGCACAAGTTCTGAACATCTCATGCACAGCTGTGAACCATTTCCTGTTGGTGCAGGTGAACTAAATTGAACCTTACACAATTAAAGCTTGAAAATATGAAAAATTTGGGAACACAAAGGGTCAAAGCAAATGTTTTGACAAGCAGTCTTCTCGCCTGCGAGGCTACAATGTTATTTGTTTGAACTGGACGCCAGAATCAATCTAGATTTGTCCACTACTCTACGGCTCATGATAACTCCATAGTTGGTATGTGAATTGTCAGAAATTGTTAATGGCATAAAAATGAACAACACCGAAGTGGGGGCATTAAAAGGTTTTCCGACATTTAGTTGTGCCTTGTGACAGTTTACAAACTACACCCAGAACTTTTTGTCTTACTTGTGTAATATTTGTGTTTAGCTCATAGTAGTTTACAAAACGATGCGCTAAAGCTCATAAGTTGGCGCTCAATTTCTTTTGCTTTGCACAAATGTTCAATGGGCCCCTAAAATATTAAATCATAAAGGTGACGAGCACTGGCACCACAGCTTCCTCAAACAAATGAATGCTGCCGTGATGAGCAAGATTGTGTTTATTGCGTGTGGTACTGTTTTTCTTTTCATATAGCAGAGTAACGTTCCAGATTTCATTGAGCATATTTGCTTCAGTTTAAATTACGTCGTCATAGCTATAGTGTCTACCACTACGAAGGAAAATTCTGTGCACAACCGTCATGAAAAATATCCACGAAATCGCACAGGTAGTTGAAACATACGTAGTCTTTGCTTAGCCACAGCCACACTGCAAGATAGTACTTATTTCAAGTCCTAACCTCTAAAGGTAGCAGAGAGAAAACAACTTCAGCTTTCAGGCACAAGTATACTGAAAGATTAAACACGATAACAAGTGTGTAATAAATGTGACCTTTATTGAACCAGTATTTGGACAGATTAACATCATGTACCACCAAGTCATTTCAGGAGTGCTTGCTTGCAAGAGAGTGCTGAAGTTTTATTGACATGTATATGAAAAAGAGAGATTATGGTCAGAGCTGAGCAGTTGTTTGGTGTACTGTAAGAGTACCAACAAAGATGTACAAAAACACAAATGGACAATGCATGCCTAAAGCTTATTTTTTAGAATTGGGCGTTTGCGATCTGTAGGCACCCACCTCATAACTCTGTTCTATTAGCATACATGTTCGCTGCATACTCAGCAAACCGGTCATTACCTGCGACGAGAAATTCTAGCTGTATTAAGTGTGTAACTTAACTCTAACAAAAGATGTAGCAAGCCAAAAATATTTTTAGGCCCATCACCTTAATACATGTTACCTATGATATGGGCTCACCGCTGAGAATAAAAACTACTGCGTACCTTATCTACACGACGCGACATCCCACAATATTGAAGTGCTCTACATAGCATTCCGGAGCGAGAGATATTCAGAACTGCACGCATTCGCAATTGTTTATTTAACATATTTAGCAAAACTACAATGCTCTCACTGTGCGAGCTATCTATCGGCAATGTGCAAGTTTCCTTCCCGATTCCACATCAAGCATTCGCTTCACTTCAAGATCAACACTACAGGGCGAGCGCCGCATTTGACGGCAGAAGCGGACCCTTGTCTTGAAGCCACGCTATTCAATTCGAACACCGAAACACGATAGGAGCGACGTTCATTAAGCGATCTCGATGTTCAGTTATATGCATATGCTTGTTAGCTTTCAAGAGTCTTTAGACATGGGTTGAAAGCTTTCGATATGTATAAGTGACTTGTTTTGTTCGGCCCTGACCGTATACAATGGTTGTACTGGTTTGGACACTCGCAATAAACGATACAAACCTTACTTGATTGACGTTCTTTTGCCAGTTTAGGCCACTTGGTCACCTGGCGATAATTACAGAAGCGAACCTCAATTTAGCAACGAAATAAAACAAACAAAATACCAAAGAAAGCGAGCAGTGCGAAGCAGCAGCGAGCCCCCCTCCCCCCCACCTGCTGCAAAAATGCGTGTGATTATTGTTGATGATAGTACCATCAGCGCCATCTCACCTCACGGTATTGAAGTTAGGCCAACCGCCATGACGTAATCATCATCATCATCATCATCATCATCATCATCATCAGCCTGACTACGTCCATGGTAGGACAAAGACCTCTGCCACGTTCCACCAGTCAAATCGGTCCTGTGGTTGCTGCTGCCAATTTTACCCGCAAACTTCTTAGTCTCGTCTGCCCACCTAACCTTCTCTCTCCCGCTAACCCACTTGCCTTCTCTAGGAATCCAGTTAGTTACCCTTAATGACCAGCGGTTATCCTGTCTACGTGCTACATGCCCGGCCCATGTCCATTTCACCTCCTTGATATAAACTACGATATCTTTAACCCCGGTTCGTTCCCTAATACACTCTTTTCATGTCTATTAAGTTTACACCTACCATTTTCCTTCGCATTGCTCACTGCGTCGTCCTCAATTTAAGCTCAACCCTCTGTGTAAGTCTTCAGGTTTCTGCTCCGTAGCTAAGTACCTGCAAGATGCAGCAGTTATGTACCTTCTTCTTGAGGGATAGTGGCAATGTACCTGTCATGACTTGAGAGTGCTTGCCAAATGTGCGGCACCCCATTTCTATTCTTCAAGTTACATCTATCTCGTAGTTCGGCTCCACGGTTATTACCTGTTCTAAGTAGACATAGTCTTTTACAACTTCAAGTGCACTATTACCTACCTCGAAGTGCTGTTCTCTTCTGAGGCTGTTGTACATTACTTTCATTTTCTGAAGTATAATTTTAGGGCCTAATTTTCTTCTCTCCTTGGCTAACTCCGTAATCATGAGTTGAAATTCGTCCCCTGAGTTACTCAGCAATGCAATGTCATCAGAAAAGCGCAGGTTACTGAGGTATTCTCCATAACTCTTATGCCTAACTGTTCTCATTCTAGGCCTTTGAAAACCTCTTGTAAGCACGTGGCAAAAAGCATTAGGGAGATTTTGTCCCCCGGCCCTACACAATCCTGATTGGTATCTGTTACTTTTTTTATGAAGCACTGTGGTAGCAGTTGATACCTGTAGATTTCTTCCAGGATGTTTATATATGCTTCGTGAACGCCCCGATCCCATCGTGTCTGCACGATTGCTGACATTTCTACCGAGTCAAACGCCTTATCGTAATCGGTGATGGCTATGTATTGTGGTAGGCTATATTCTGAGCATTTCTCAATTACCTGATAGTATGAATGTGGTCGATTATTGAGTAGCCTGTTCGAAATCCTGTTTGTTCCTTCGGTGATTGAATTCTACTGTTGTCCTAATTACGTTAACAATTACCTTTGTAAATCGCTTGCATACTACGGAGAGCAAGCTGATCGGCCTGTTTTTCTTCAAGTCCTTGTCATCTCCTTTCTTATGTATTAGGACGATAGCATTCTTCCAAGATTCTGGTACTATTGCCGTCAAGAGACACCTCGTAAACAGAGTCTGTAGTTTTTTAACACAATCTGTCCTCCATCTTTCAGCAGATCTGATGTTACCTGACTCTCACCAGCAGCTTTGCCTCTTTGCATGCTCTCCAAGGCTTTTCTTACTTCTATCATCACTGGTGAGGTGTCATCTTGAGTTACTTCTAGTTCTTATATGAAAATCGTGCTTGTGCTGGCTACAGTACAGATCTCTGCAGAACTCCTCTGATAATTTTACTATCCTATTCATATTGGTAGTTACTTTGCTTTCCTTGTCCTTTAGTGCATGAATCTGGTTTTCGCCTATCGCAAGATTCTCTTCACTGCTTTGACACTTCCTCCGTTCTCCAGAGCCTGTTGATTTCTGTTCATGTTATACCTTTTTTCATGAGATACCTTACGCTGAATAATCAACTTCGAAAGCTCTACCAAATCAATTTTTTCAGTTGTACTTGAGGCTTTCATGTTTTGACGCTTCTTGATGAGATTCTTCGTTTCCTGGGAGAGCTTGTCAGAGTCCTGTCTGACTACAGTACCTCCAACTTCCACAGCACACCGATACGAATTTGCGTGTTATTTTGGTACGACAGCGTAAAGGTACAGTTCCCGTTTTCTAAACAAGTAGGTGTTATGTTGCCTAACCTTGTCTTGCGTCAGGCGTGACCGGTAGATCAAGAAAACGAGAAAAGAAGGAAGGTAGGATCTACCGAACGTTATAATAGATGACGCTGTCTCATAGACTTACATACAAACTGGAGCTGAGTGAGGATATTCTATAAGGCGCTGTCTCCGATTAGTCACTGCACTCGCTTTGCCTGGGTGCGCGGAAAGCTAGTGTCTCTGTCTCCTAGAGCATCGCCGCACATGGCGAATCATTCGGGCACTGTGCCATGTCACCCAAGAGGCAGATAAAAATTAGGTGCCTCCTTCCCTCCTTTCTAGGATCACTCACTCACTCACTCAATCAATCAATTAGTCAATCAATCGATTGGCGGGGCATGGACGAAATAGATCGGTGGGCGTGGAGCACCACCGCTGCTCCTGCTCGTCGCCTCGTTGGTGGGGCGCCGACGAAGTTGGTCCAAAAGCAAGTGTCATAAACACCGTGTAGACATGCACCCTTGCCTGGACAATATGAAGTGAACTGATGTATAGAAACGTGTTTTACCGATGATGCAACCACGATTATGGCAGTTGTACAATAGCTTAGTGCGCTTCGTCAAAATATTTTGTGTTGTCAAATAAAAGCGATCTGCTGGACGATGCAAAAGGACAATATCAGAAATATTAGTGCAATACCACCTTCGAGCAGAGTGAATTGCTAATCTTTTTTTTTCTTTTTTTGGGGGTGGGGAAGGAGAATATTTCTTGGCGGTGCTCCCGTTAGACCGTCCTATATAGGCATATGAACGCTGGGACGAACATTATGCCGATTCCACCCAAACACCTTGTAAAGGGGCAGCTGTTACTTATGAAAAAGAACAAAAGAAAGAAAAAACGAACGAAAGAAAGAAAGAGAGACAGAAAGAAAGAATGAAAGAAAGCAAGCAAGCAAGCAAGAAAGAAAGAAAGAAAGAAAGAAAGAAAGAAAGAAAGAAAGAAGAAAGAAAGAAAGAAAGAAAGAAAGAAATAAAGGCCATGCATCAGATTTGTTTATGCTATAAAATTCGCTTGCACTCGCCAACGGGGAAAGAGTGCCTGAGGTTTGTGAACTGCCAGCAAAGAAATGCAGCGTGAAGCCCGGCACGGTGGTGATGGGGCCTCCATGCTGTACAAGTAAAGCGTTTTACTGTGAGAAGGAGAGAAAGATAGTAATTTCAACCAGAACACTGTGTTGCATTTTTATTTTTTGGATTGGGACAAACATGCAGACACAATGGAAGTATACCCCGCACCCGTCAAAAATCAGGGGTTTCATTTCTGCTGTCACTGAGGATGGTGACTGCAGAACGCTCAGCTGAGCTTCTGAAAGAGTTACGCAAAAAAAAAACTGGGAGAAGTAAAACAGCAGACACGTGTGAGTGCTCTTTGACAATGCACGGTAGGAGACGAAAAGGAAATTAAGGTGGTGTGCGTTATTCAAGAAGGATATGGCGCTATTTGCCGGGCTTGCGGGAGCGCGGTTCGGTGCCTTTGGGGAAAGGGTAGCGGCAATAACAGTTCAGAAGAAAAATGGTAAGTTACGCAGCCTACGGGTGCTATTTGATGCGGAGCAAGAGCTGTGATGCTAAGTGATTTTATATATTCGAAGCAAACAGTGCACTGAAAACAACCGAAAACAACGGAGAGAAGGAACATTGACAGCGCTGCGCCTGCCTCGTAGTTTGCCCTTGATACGCAGTGGTGGCCGCCTTGGTTTTGCGTGTTAGCGCGGTAGTTAAATTTATTCTTTTTGCCTTCAAAAATGGGTTAAACTCAAGGTCACCACAAAATGGCCGGCACACCTTCTGACGGACTCGATGCCACACATTTAGAATTGGACACACTGCTGATGACAAATGGGAAGACAAAACATGCCTGAAACGACGAGATAGTGCAGCTGGACTTTGAAAGCAAGTTACCATGTTGAACTAACGAAAAGCCAATGAGAGCTCCGTTGACGTCCCCGATACTAAAGTAAGACAATGACGATGGCAGTGACGAGGGCGGCACGGTCACGGGGATGGAAGGTGTGGTTTATGAGGAACGCGCGAGCTCACTGAACACAAAAAAAGCAGTGGCGAGAGAAAATCCGCAAATAGCCACCTAGTACAGCAAAAGGAGGATAGGGGAAGTGGCGAAGCGGGTAAAAAATAGAAGCCAGAGTGAGGAGAAGTGGAGGAAAAGGGGAGCAGTAAGTGTGAAGCACAACACCGCCACGTCTATTACAGTACAGCAAGGGGGCGGGAATGTGAAATGAAAGAAGGCATAAAACACAAAAACTGTTCACGAGTGTGAATGGTAAAGAAATCCAAAATGCCTGGACATAAATATCTGTTGGCATGAACACAAATGCTTTATAAATTTTGCATAGAACACCCGCTATTATAATTATCGAATGGCTATTAATCGTAAAACAGCGACATGGAGGACAGTCATTATCTCGGTGGTGAGAAATGAAAAAAAAAATTACACCATCTATCGCTAAAAGAAACCACGTGTGGATGTGAAGCAGCGGTTGCTAACGCATACACTGGGGGTGGCGTTGACGCTCATCGCGGCGTTGCGCGAAAAAAAAAATACCTGTGGAAGCGCACAGCCCGCAGCGTTAGATTGGCGTTTTTCATCGGCACATGTCAATCGCTGCTAATAGACAATGGGAGACGGAAGACTCTGATTTGACACAGAGACCCATAGTCGGCTTGTAGTTTTCGTGCATGCTGTGATTTTTTTTTAACACTTAACAGTAGAAATATCCCACTGGCACCATCTTGGAGGTGAAAATTCTGTGCCTATAATGGCCAGTGAATGATTGTGCACAGCGGACAGTCGATTTATTCAATCAAGAAACTCGATATCACACGCTGCCTCGTTGGCGTTGTTTGTTGAAAGAAGGAAGTGTATACGAGAGAAGAGAGAGGGGAGGAGACGTGCATGCTCAATGGTGGTGCGAAGCCGCTAGAAAGAATGCTTAGAGGAAAGAGAGAGAAGGGAGCGAGCATAGACTAGTCGACACGCTGCCTGCATCAGCGTTGCGAGGCGAGAAAGGGGGAGTGCAGCAGATGAGTGGGAGGAGGCGTGCATGCGTAATGGGGATGTACAGTTATTGCTGTACAATTCATATGTAGCGCTATTTAATTGTATAGCGAGCAAATTCGTCCTGCAGACAGATTTAGGCAGTAGCACTGCTTGCAGTATGAATACAGTAGGTGTAATTGGCATTCTGCTTTTTCTTGACTTCGTGAAGAAATTACGGGCGACCAGTTCATATTATTTGGGTAATAATTATTGGGCAACGTTTGGGCGTTAAGCAGTACAGCTGCAGTATTCAAAAAACCACCCATAGATCAAAGTACTCTAGGTAACGTTTTCTCAGGACGAGCTTTTCAAGAATATTGACACATTGAGACCGCTTGTGTATATTTGGTCGTCGAGAACCTTTACCAAGAGTGACCCGTAACACGAAAGATTGTGGTACCTAATTTTTAAGTGGGTGTAAAAGGTGCGTAACTTCCGTGTTAGTTAAGAGCAATGTTTTTCACTCAACAATAATTCTGTAGAACATTAAGAAAACTGTGCTAGTGACTTCTAGACATTACATGCTGACGTCAGTTATTCGTGCAGAACCAACTTGGATTTCACGACTGATGAAAACATGTGGAGTGGTTTGGCAGGGGCAATCCCATTCAGCTTCGTGCGCACAGTGTTTGACCAGATGGCCGTGCAGAGGTTTATGGCCGCCAAAACACTGCGAGAGGCCCAGAGGTAAGTACTACCATTTAGTGAGTATAGCGTATCAGAGTGACGCGGAGAATCATCATTATGGCACTAGAAGTGGAAGATTTCTCACGTCAAATGTCCGTTAGCAATTGGAAGAAGAGAACTAATTGTCATCTGGGAAGAGAATAAAGTTTCTGTCGTATTCAGACTTGCTTTGGTGTCACTCGGTAAAGTGAGGCGAAGAAACCTCTACTCCCTCGTGTGTTCGTGCCGTGATTGAACCTTATGTTTTGCGTCAGTGGCTTCGGTCATTGATTATCTTGTGCCCCTGGGTCACTGTCCAGACAATGAGCCTTACCAAGCGCCTGCTCAGTTTTTACTTCGCTTTATGTTTGTTTAGTTAAGTTTTGTTTCTGAAGCATAGTGCCCAGGCATCTCGCAGCCGCAATGGCTACTGTGCAAAATAGCGTTGGTCAGTTGTCGTGGCGACTAGAACTATTCTGATGGCAAAATATTTTATTCGTCAAATAACGATTTCTCACAACCTAAACCAGACTCAACTAGCGTTTTAGCGTGAAAGCCTTACATGGCCAACGACCAGAAACATTTGGTTTAAAGCATTAACGTCTAATATATTCGAAACCCACATTACCAAGTTATAACGTCGTGTTCCAACATCAATGAAATCTGATCTCGCCATTGTGCAAAAATCTACTTTACTCATTCTGAAAATTCAATTTGCCTACATTGAAGACAGAGCTATATCCTCTTGCATTTTACTTGATTCATCGCCAGTTTTGGAGGAACCGCACTTAAAGATTCAATACGCGAGTTTTGAAAAAGAAGTTTTCTCGCATTAACTCAATTCCAGTAAGGTCACGCTTAAAGCAGGCGAACCCCACATTTGAGTATCAACAAAGGGAATCGAGTTGAAAGAACGTTGAAAGGCGATCTGGTGTACTTCAAAATCGGCCTAGGAAAGCCATATAATTAGCTTTGCTAATTTCGAAACAATGATTGGGCCCACGGTCTTGATTGCTCTCACCCGCTCCCGGTTCCCAATATTGGTACTGCCAATTCGAAAATTGAGGCTCCTGGCTCTGCTATTCCAATTTATCTAACCCGAAAGTTTTTAGGGCAGATCACGAAAGCGAAAAATGCGGCCAGAGTTCAAGGCGTCCTTAGTGATTCCCGCCCTCATAAAGGACGTCGCCCGATTCAAGTACATGATCATATGATCACGTAATGCAACATCGTCACGTGGCCAAGTAAGGAAATGGTTGGTCAGTGACCTTATAAAGTGACGAATGCACGTGACAGTGGCAGGTCATGCGGACGCCGAATTAGTATCGACGTCCGTAATGTCAACGCGGCCAGACAAGCAATGTTCGCTTGCTCAGTGTTTGTGATCTTCGGACTGCTTTCACGTTGACTGCGTGAAGAAACACGCAAGTGCATTTAGAACTTTTGATACGCTCACTACGCCATAATGGCTTTTTCGCGTTATTTTACATGCCATCGTTCATTCACTTCTCGGCATGTCATTGTTGCGCACTGAAAGCATTGATGCTATATTACATTGTGAATGTTTGCCCCACTGTTAAAAGCGCATTTACTTGCCTCTCTTAAAAAATTGCTTTAGTTTTTAAAAGTATTTATTTTGCTGCCATTTGTGAAAGTGACGCGTAGAAAAGTTTTGCAACAAAACACTCGCAATTTATCACTGCATTGTGAAGTATTCATTTCGATACAAACAATTAAAAACGTTGAACAAATTAAAGCTAGCAACTAACTATTTTATGAATCTTTTTATCTTCGAATATTGCTATCTCGATAGACGAAACGTAGCAGGAATGGGTACATTGGTTAATAAACAAGCAACAACCATACAAATGCATGTAAAAGTATTGGATTATGTAGTTTGAGAATTCTTTTACAAATTCTCCATGCATGCCACAAACTATTTTACAGATTTCAAACGATTCAGCCATAATCACAGGTTCTGTTATTCATTTATCTTAGCCAACTGGAAGGCGCAAGCCGTATTAATAATTCTCATCAGTCGATGTATTGAGCTTGCCCTGTGACTCGCCGAGAGCCTCCAGTACTGGAGTGTGGTTTTGCACATCTTTCAGGATTCGAGGCACAGCAAATATTGTGCGCTTCCCCTGGTTTTTCGCTGCCTTCGCGATCGGTCTACCTTCGGTCAGGCGACAATGTCATTTGATGTCATTAAAATGTGGCGTCACGTGATATCACGATATAGTGACGTTGTTAACTGGGAATGGGACGTCACGACGACGTTATCAATTTTGACTATCTATGACGTGAGAATGACGTCATCACGTTACAAACTTTTTTTCTACTTTCGTGCTGGCACCTATTGCACCGGGTGAATTTCCACGATTGACAAGAACCCTAAAGCTTTCGTTTTAAAATCACTGGCGTAAGCGAACACAGCAACTGCAGCCAGTGAAAAAAAACTTATGTTGTTCATCACTTGTACGCAAACTACATAGCAGGCACAAAGGTATGAGCCGGCTGCAGATCCATGTCATGTTAAGGGGCGCATAAACGTGCATTGCCCATAAATACTTTTACCGGAGCAACACAGTCCAGTTTAAGGGATCTCACACCACATTGGCCTTTAGCGCGACGAAGAACGTCCGGAGCGTTTTCTCTTGGAGACGTCGTGGAGTGTTGCCCTTGCACACTCACCCAGAACATACGATGCACAAGGTGGTGTTGTTGATGTCAATGTTATACGGAGCTTCACGGCAATGTCGGCGACAACGGCAGAAAACGTGCCTGGTGTGTCAAAACAAACTTTATCACAAAAAGTATTTTGTATGTACTGACGGACTTCAAAAGCTATTCTACGCCTCACTAGAAGTCCCGTTGATAAAATGCTTTTCGATGAGAGCTCGGCCGATTCTCTGTAAGCACGTGCACTGACCCAACTTACCGGCGCTTGTTCAAACGTGTTCTATGCATGTCCTCGCTGTGGTACGAAGCTTACAAATTTTTAAGATGATGGCTGCTGTGCTATCTTTCGATCTTCAGAGAAGTAGACGTAAAGAATAACCAGAGATGTGTGTGGCCTTTCCATAAAGCAGTGCAGGATTTTAAGGGTTGTAACTACAGGTTCTGTAAGCGCAACCTTTGTCACTATAGTTTAAATTTTTAAACGCCGGAACCAAGAAAAACACAATACATTGCGAAGCACACCGTAATAGGGCTAGGGCATATTTACAGTCATGAGGGATTCTGTAACCCTCTCCTATATATCTGAGCACACGAATGTTCTTTCCATTTTGATCTTGCATAGACATGCAACTCTTGCGAAGAGCCGCCCTCCTTAATTAGTAACGAAAAAATAAAAGAATGAAACCATGAATGAAAAAAATGAAAAAAAAATGAAATAAAAGAATGAATAAAAGAATGAAGAAAAATGAAACACATGCGCTCGCTTTGCTTCTACCTTTGTTGTTGTGATCACAGACATGCGTGGTCGTGGCGGTCATTGTGATCACAGGCATGTGGTCGTGGTGGTAGAACTTTCATATTAAAAAGTGGTCTAGAGGACATCCGATGGCGTATGAAGGCGTAGAGGGCAGCAGCAACATCAGGGCGGGTAACCTTTCCGCCGCTTTGCGGGCCTATCAGACAGCCCAGACTTTGTCTATTGTTCACTGCTCACCAGGACGTCGTTGCACTTGTTCATGACCTCCAGAGTTAAGGACTGAGTCGCACATGTCCAGTCGATTGCTCAAATGCATGGGCTCGAAGGTTAGCTCCTATGGCTCTTCGCACTCCGAGGGGAGAGGCAAACGATTGAGTGAAACAGGACACTGACTCGATTTTCGCATTTCAAGAGCGAAGCACTTCTAGCTGCAGGTGTCTGTAAAAAAATTTTTACGCCATTACTAATCAATTGGCAAGCTAGAGCTGTGCACCAAGTGTGTTTAACCTCGCCTTGCAGCGCATGAGCTGAGAAGCAGTCGCTGTCAAGCTACGACCACACAAGGAGACAGTCCGCGCAGCCGCTGCGCCACTTGCCTGTCGTGGCACGAGTAGATCACGAGTGATTAAAGCCCCACATTTATACCGCAGGGCTCACAACCAGGTTTGTGAGTAACTATCTGGTGCTGGAGTTTCAACATTCTTTCATTGTCTATGACAGGCTGCAGTTCAAGGCTTGTTTGGCTACGAAAAAGATAGACCAGTCCACACCATCAGGCAAGAAGGCTATGTTATGCACCCTAAGGTTGAGGTGCTTCACTTTAGATGCGAAGCAGCTTATGGCCGAGTTCAATACGGTGTGTGTGTGGGCATGCGCAACAGCTGGTTCAAGTACTGCCAGTAGCCGCTCATGCACTAGTGCGTTCGGAAGTCTATACGGGGTTGGTTAAGATGTTGTGGCCTGTCCCCCTTACACTTTCACCAATGATGTGATGACGTCAGGGAACGATATTCTGCTGACGCGCAATGAACCAACGCGTTTTATCCTAATTAGAACACGCGGCATGTGCTAGCGTGTTCGGGCTTGTGGGAGCGTAAGAGGGTGTGGCCTCTCCTTACAATTTTTCGGCAATCACGTGGCAGCGTCGTGGAACGAAGTTTCGCAGGCGCTCCTTGTGGCATGGCAATGAACCTGCTTGGCATGCTCCAACAAGACCTTGCACAAGTAGCAGCCACAGAAACCACACTGCATTCATGGTGGTTTCTACTTGCAAGGACGCGTTAACATCGGGCATAGAGCCCGTGGTGAACAGAACTTCATATCGATTTATGCGCTGCTTTGCATGCTGCTCATGGTTCTCTTATTGGGAGATGGCGTAAACTTTTACCGATGTTTTACTTGGCTAGTATTAACTTCTTTCTTTCGTATGCATACGTGTCTTCCAACTATACCTTGGAAATAAAACAAACATAAGAAGCGATCTGGCACAAAAACCGAGATGATCACTACGTGAACTCTCGTGCCTTTAATATTTCCATATAGTGTTCAAGGCCAGTGTCAAGAATGATAAAGAGCAGCTTACAACAAAGCAGTGAACTTTGGAGTTTACTAATATAACCATTGCGAGACATATCATGTCCTACATGGCAACGCATTTGATTTATTTTCTTGCATTTAATTACCAGTGTGATGAACTTGTCCCATCACTGTGATTACAACGTATGTTTGACATAACTTCTATTTTTGGTCTTTTGCTTACTTAACTGACTTCTGTACCACGCTCTTCCAGCAGCCATCCTCTTTCTTTAGAAGTGATTTATCGCATTTATCTTCGCAGGATTTCAATCTTTGGTCCTCTCTTCGTGTTGTGCTTCTTCTTACTAGGAGCTACGACGGGAATAATGATAATTTACTGGTACAGGGATTGCAACCCGGTTCTTAGCGGCACCATCAAAAGCTTCGACCAGGTGAGTGCATGCTTTACAGAGAAAATTGTTTGCACAAACTAAGTTGATGTATTCGCGAATTATGGGGAATCTTTGCACCATTTGCCCCGCCACGGTGGTCTAGTGGGTAACATTTGAAAGAAATTTATGTAGCGCGAGGTGAAATAATGAACACAGGAAAGAATAGACTGAGAGGACAGAGCACGACTAGCAACAACATGTTTATTTTTGACCTCAAAGCCACTTTCAAGCCATAATAGACAGGCGAGCAAGCAGATAAGCACGCGTACTCAGATAAATGCACGACAATGTCATCTACCTACAAGAAAAAACGATAAATAAGACAACAAAAAACCTCACAGATAAAATCACGTATCACTGCGAACGCAGGAACGCCAGTTTCTTGGGTGACAAGGCAATTGAAGGCTTGCTAATACATAAATCTCCAAGAGCATCAATAGGTTCGGCTTCTATGATCAACCGAGTATTCTCATCCTTATGCAGACCAACAATGATTGTACTCGGGAACAAAGGCCGGCAACCACACGCGTGAATGTGAAGAGCGAGAAAACCTTCTGGTGGCAGTTTATCCGCCTTGTAATTGTGTTCTCTCAATCGCTCATTCGCACACCTACTTGTTTGACCGACATACTTTTTCCCACATGTGAACAGAATAAGATAAATGACGAATGAAACGCACTCCACAAATTTGTGTGTATGCCTTTTTGTGCACAACACCCTTTCCCCACGTGACGGATTCATCAGCACACACAATTTTCCAAGTTTATCACGTACTGAAAATAGCACCCTAATATTGTCCCGAAGTGCCACTTTCTTAAGGTTATGTGACAGCTGGTGAACATATGAAATAATGGCCGTGTATCTTGACTTTGACGGTGAATCGACATTAACATTAGATTGGCTTGACCTTGCACGAATCCTTTTCAACTCTTTTTCCGCAACTGAAACTAAAACATGATCCGGATAGCCTGATCCTTGCAAATGTGTGATCTGATTATGGAAGCTCTGCTTCATAAGGTGTGCCCATGACTTGTTCAATGCGTTTTTGAGGCAAGTCGTCGCAATGGCTCTCTTGATTAGTTTGGAATGACCGGAATGAAATGGGAGTAAAGCTTTCTGAGCACGCGGATCATAGTACAAGCATAGCTGGTTGCCAGAACACTGAACACTCAAATCTAAAAACCTTATTAGTCCGTCGCTAGGCCATTCTACTGTCACTTCAAGGGGCTTAAGACCACCAGGAAACACATTCAACAGATTGGCACTTTCACTTTAGAAATTTTCCCCCGAGTTTTCAATGAAAATAATAAAATCAGCTACATATCGAAACAGTTTCTTAGCCGTCGTCTCTGCGAGACGATATGCCACAATTCTATCAAGTTCTGCCAGAAACAAATTGCTCAAGACAGGCGCAATGCAAGAGCCGATACAGATACCCTGCTTTTGCAAAAGAATATCATTGTTTCATTTAATGAACGTGAAAGTAAGATAAAATTCCAACAAGGCAAGAAAATTATCAGCGGATATACCTACTCAGAAGAAAACTTAACAGCACCAAATTCATCAATGCTACTTCCAACACAATTTAGCATTTGTGGATTGGGGAGGGATTAGTACAAGTCTGTCACGTCAATTGAGAAGGCTCTTAGCCTTTCATTTTCATGAGCTTCCATGAAGCTTAATTTACTATCGGAACTCTTGACTAAAAACGGATCTCAAACTTCGAGAAGATTGAGTTTGTCTAACAAAAAAGCAGCTAGTTCTTTCTGCCAAGTTTCTATTTCCGAGACTATTACTCGAAAAGGAGTGTTAACTTTGTGAGTTTCTGCATTAAAAATACATCGAGGCTATTCTTCTTACTTTTTGAATACTTTTTAGAGTTACAACTAGTTCATGTTTTTGCAGAATTGAAAAGCCTTTGCTTTTACTTTGTTTAACAATACGCCATCTTTTACATGGAACATCCTAGAAGTAGCATCATTAGCTTTTTCCAACAAGCATGAATGCGAAAAAATTGCGAAGCCACCTTCCTTATCTCCCTGCAAAACACACAGCGAAATATTGTCCAGGTTCGACAAAACACGCTTAACAGGAATGTGAGAAAACACCGGTTTACAACGCGAAACGGCGTCTACTCTTTCAGAGGTATTTCTTTCTTCCTCACCTTCAGTTGCACGACGTGCCACCTGTCGAACGACAGTCAGGAGTTCAGAATTTTTCCTCTCTCTTTGAAGCCCGAATTTAGGCCCCAACTCTAGGACTTGTCCTGCGTTCGTTTTTTCGCCTCGCGCTACATAAATTTCTTTCAAATGTTTTACCAACAAGCCCTCATCGCCACTCTTAAAGTGGGTAACGTACTTGGCTGCTGACCCGCAGGTCCCAGGATCGAATCGCGGCTACGGTAACTGCATTTTCGATGCAGGCTCAAATGCTCTAGGCCCGTGTGCTCACATTTGGGCGCACGTTAAGAAACCCCAGGTGGTCAAAATTACCGGAGCCCCCCACTACGGTGTCTTTCATAACCATATGGTGGTTTTGGGACGTTACACCTCACATATCATTCAATCGTTATCTTTACGCCATTTCCAGAACTGCGTAATACTTACGTGAAGAATGAGCGAAGCATAACGTAGTTTATATATTTGCTGCCACGTCCCTTGTTTCACATATGTATGAACGACATGTTACACTCCGCAGAAAAATTCCAGGTCTCTCCTCCTCTCAAAAATACAGGCGTTGAGCGATTTTAGCACGTGAATGGCTCACTCACTACTCCTCTTTCCTTCTTTAGTTCTTCATTCCTCCCATTTTTGTTTTTTCTTCCTTTCCTCCCACTGCATTTTACCTTTATTTCCACTCTTAGCCTTCTTTCTTACTATTTTCCTTTTATTGCTTTGTTCTTTTCTTCCCTGCTATTGGTTTTTCTCTATCTTTCCTTCTTCCATCTCCTCATCGAGTTTCACAATGCACCCTTCTAGCTCTTTCATACATGCAGGGATTAGAACTTTGAACCACATGCACAGCTGTGAAATACATCAGTTGCTTCAAGTAACAACAGTGGTCCTGCATGAAAAAAGGCAGTACTTAAATGTGACAACGTTAAACGTTCAATGACTTTTATACAAAATATTTACAGATCAGAAACGACTCGTGAGTACCCACCCAAAATTCAGATAGGGCGGAACTTTTGCAGAACAGCTCATACAAATAAAGGTTGAACCACCACACCTTTGAGGAATACATTTATGCTTTCAGCGTAAAACGCCGCTACGAAAATCTGCAAGAAGCCGCTACGCAAAGCGAAAAATTCGCCTCGTACCTGCGTGCTTCGATGCAAATGTCCTCGAACGACAATAGTCTTCTGCTGCTCGTACTACGTGAGTCCTAGCCTCACCAACGTCAGATATGGCTTTGCGTGAGATATGGATGCCATCTGCTAGTGTCGTTGGAAAACATGAGCTTGTGCGTAACCAAGGATTATTGCGAGTTGGCGGCACCATTTCTTCATCATAGGGCTTTTTCGTGCATGACGTTGTTTTTTCAGCACAGCCTGAGCAACACTTTACTTATTGGTACGTATCTCAACATTTTCAGTAAAGAAACTCACCATCTAATACCAACGTATTGGTGTGGCGCCTGAGATACGCATAAGACTTCTAGATCAACATTTTCCACAAGCATATACGGAGCCACCAGTCGAAGATGGCTGGGCGTTTACAAGTGCTTAAGCCTTTGCCGGGTGGCGGAATTATGTAATAGACAGACGGGCAGAAAGGCAGGTAATCAAGTATCCCAAGAAAGAAAGTCGTTTTTAAAAGGGGTTAGATACACAGGTAATAAACTGCTTGGTGCGGTACCGTGCTTGCGCAAAGGCAACAACAGAGTGCAGTTAGTGACTGGAAAACTTGAAAAAAACATCTGACTACCTTTAGGCTAACAGGTACAGCCCAACTCATACGATGAATAAAAGTATGGCTAACCTCACCTGTATTCGAAACTCAGGTTATGCAGCTCGAGCCGAACACACGGAAATTAGGTTTTTCAGAATTCTCGTCGTTTGTCCCCATATTTCAGGAATTACATGTCCAGCCACTTCAAAATTGACTAAAAGTGCGAACATTTCCAGCGCAAAAGCAAAATGAGCCCTGATTTACAGAAAAAGCCTCGTCGTATATACAAGTTCATCCGAAAGTGCCAGCTAGTAGGGAAATAAGATAATTACGAATGAATCTATTATTAAATTTAGTCTGAATTTTCAATATAAATTTATAATAACTTGGACAACATGACCTATGTGGTAATATATTTTCAGACACTTTACGTGATGTGACATCCACATTTCATTGGGGGAGACGTGAATGACATTGAAGCAGAGAAGACTGAATTTCAGTTGCACGAAAACAATAAAACCTACGTGTATTTGCGTTTGGAACTCGTTATTTCCTTGCATGCAATTAACGTATTGGCCTATTTTTGGATAAATTGTGAACGCTATTCATAGTATCATGAGAGAAACATGTTTTCTCAATTCCGCATAGTGATAAGTTATAGGCAGCGCCTCATTCATCTATATGTGCGCTTTAACGTCCCAAAATCACCATAAGACTATGAAAGACGCCGTAGTGAAGGGCTCCGAAAGTTTGACCACCTCGGGTTTTTTAACGTCCACCCAAATCTGAGCACACCAGCACACGGGCCTACAGCATTTCCGCCTCCATCGGAAATGCAGCCGCCGCAGCCGGGATTTGATCCCTCGACCTGCGGGTCAGCAGCTGAGGACCTTAGCTACTAGAAAACAGCGGCGGGGCAAGCAGTGCCTTAGATAAAGCTATAATTTACTTTATAAAAGAACCAATCTCTATATGTCATGTACCTGTCCTATTAGTCTAGAAAATGTAGAGTTGCGCTGCACTACAAAATGGTCCGTATTCGATTCCCGGCAGCCGCGGCAACCCTATTTAAATGGGCCTGACATGCCCAAGTAAGTAAGGTCAAGCCCAAACATAAACCCGGATCTAAAGATGTAGCTAGCAATTACTGCCCGGATTCCTACCAACCACGAGGTAGAAAATATTAAACTATATAATTTTTGAAGGTAATATAACTAACTTAGAGGTTAAGAACTTGCTCTACTCTAGGCAACAAGGATTTAGATCTGGCCTGCCTACAATTACACAGCTAACCGAGATGACCAACCACATTGCAAATACATTCAACACAACAGGACAAATAGATGCCTTCTTTCTGGACTTTGCAAAAATGTTTGATGTAGTTCCCCACTATAACGTCGTAATGAAAATGCAAGCAATTAGTATTCAACCTAAAGTTATTCAATGGGTAATGTCATACTTAAAAATTGCAAACAATTCGTTTCTGTGATAAACAATATCTCAAGCAGCCTAGACGCCTTGTAAGAGGCACCACAAGGATCTATATTAGGGCCAATTCTATTTCTTATCTGTATTAATTAAATTTCTTTTTGCGTCGACCCATCTGCTCAACTGAAGTTTTTCGCTGATGACTGCATCGTATATACGACGGTAAGTCAAACTGAGGACCAGCTTCGCCTTAATCACTCGCTACAAAAAGTTGAGGCATGGTGCTCGGAATGGGGAATGACACTTAACGCAAGAAAAACGGCAGCCAAAAGTTTTACAAACAAGGAAAAACCTCTTAATTTGATATACAAACTAGGAAATTTGAAAATCACCAAAAGTAACCAAGTCAAATACTTGAGAGCTACATTAACATCTAATGTCAGTTGGGAACCATATATAGCGGCTATTTGTGCAAAAGTGCAATGAAGGCTCCCATTTGTCAAGAAAAGACTAAAGAACGCACCTCCTGACGTTAAACTAACCGCATATAAGCCACTAATTAGACCAGCACTTGAATATGCCAACATAAATTGTATTCCCCATCAGAAGTTTCTCCTAAAGATTGAGCGAGTTCAAAATTTAGCAGTTTGATTTGTGTTTTCAAATTATTCCCGCCATACCAGTGTTACATCTCTGCATACAAAAGCCGACCTGTGTTGTCTTGATCAACGCAGAATAATTTCCAAACCTAAATTTTTGTGTCATCTGTTCAATGAGCATTTTAAAATATCCGGAACAGAACATCTCCTTCAATATGTCAGACACTCCTCAGGAACTAACCACAATAAGACAATACGACTGCCTTAAGGTCACAATAACATTCATAAAAACTGTTTTCCCATTATCGATAGCATACTGGAATAGTCTACCATCATATGTGGTAAACTGTGAAACGGTAGATTCTTTGGTACAAGAAATCAGCAATATTTTTGTTCTGGTTAGTGTATTACATTTTGTATTATGCTCGCATGTGACATGAACTCTGTATCTTTGAAACTGTTAACAACCATCCAGCATTGAACTGATTTTCTCGTTCTGTTTTTTAGTGAGATCATGACTTTCAACAGAATTGTAATAATTTTCTGTATTACCACTCCTGCTTGGACTGAAGAGGTCTGCAGTATATTGAAATAAAAATAAATTAAAGTAAATGAATGCAAATATGTGTAGAAGAATCTCACACACTATGATTAAAAAGCGTTTAGGTACGCCTCGGGAAAAAATTCAAGATTTGATATCAGCTGCGTGTGGTGACAAACAGCTGAGGACGAAACCTTTCCAAGAACAACACGCAGTGCATTCATACACCCAATACACGTTCAAACTGATTCATTCTTATTTTTCTTCCTTCCTGATGCTATTAAAATGTGGAATGAATTACCGAGTGATGTGGTGCGAAAAAGTACTTTGGGTGAAATTGAGGTTGTTCATTAAGTGCATTTTGTTGACATTGTATAGATTATTAGTGTTCTTGTATGTGCTTTCTTGTAAATGTTTCATAGGTCATAAATATCATGTTGCAAATGTTATGAGTGAAAACCATGAAACTGCGTGTCTGGTATAAATGTGCTATATGTTACAAAGTTTATCTTACAAATGCTCTTAAAATATTTACGTATTCTTGCACAACTCAATACTTCACCCTCCCTGTAATGACACTCAAGTGAAGGTTAACAGTATGACTTAATAAATAAACTTTGAACGTGATATGCTTTCAAATATTATTAGATATCGACAGTCAAACAATTTCTGCTTTGAACGATCTCTGATGGACAGCTTTTCAACCATTGAAGCTTCGGCTGTTGTTGCGCTGAAATTGTTTTGTAGCAGTGATTTGAAGTAGAGTGACATGCACGTAAAGCTGTATGTATAGTGTAAATTTAGTATGGTAAAGCATCTAAGCAAAATACGGCGCATAATAAGAGATTTTGGCAGCCAGTGTTAAAACTCAAAGACTTTTTAAAAGAAGATATTTCTATATAAATAGTTTTTTGCGAATGAACTTAAGGAAAACTTGTTTGTGGCTACAAAAACGTGAAACATTTTTAATGCTCTATTAGGATAAGGAATAAATAAAAAGAATAGGCTCTTGAATTAAATTCACTGATGAAATTGTCATCTTTCCAGAACGTGAAAAAAACTTGTACAGATTGATAAAATTAAGACAGACAAGATCAAAGCGTAGCAACTAACAATGCGATGGATTCTCTGCATACTAGATGACATCTATATGAGTCAACCAATATTAATGAGTTACTTTCTCATAAACATTTCTTTATTGATTGTCCAGGGAAATTTTCAACCAACTATGTCGTGCTGATCGTCGTACTATTAGTATACTGTGGAATGCTGTGTCCACACACTATCGGGACACAAATAGTGTCAATGAACAGGTTAAGGTAAAAAAAGAACGTGAATGTGAATTCGGTATTTTTAGAGCACTTTGTGATGTGACATGCTAGTTTCAATCAATGAGAAAAAATACGCAAACCATGGTTTTCAGACAATCAATGCAGTCTTAATTTGTATGATACCCACAGATTGTCCCGTTATACATGAAAGAAAGGCTGTCTGAGGTAACAGCTCTTCGTGGTGTATTTCTTGCTGGACTCGTCGGTGCTTCCACAAGGTCAGATTCGCACTCTTGGTTTTAAAGATGTGGTTGCCTACATGAATTATTGTCGCCAAAGTTGTCGCTTCTTCCTAATCGCTGGCATTTGGTTTGCCACCTAGGTATTAGTTAAAACATGTTTAATCGTAGTGCGGTTCTCGCATACTTCCTATGTGGAAGTTCGTTCAGGTGATGTAGAAGAAATAGCATTACCAGGCCATTTGGACTTTCATTGATTGCCTAATAATTGCTTGATGACCACCAATAAAAGCGAATGTTTCACGACGTGTCTTCTGCCCTGGCAGTACTACAAAAGCTGCACTTGCAGCGAGTCGTCGGTGATCGAATGCAAAGTCTTCGCTGGTGTTCTGCGCTGTATGCACCCTGTTAACAAAAGTATGCCATGTTACGCGAACAAGTGTTTTAGACGGTGGATCTTGTTTTCACATCAACCTGCGTATCGTGGAAATTTAATCAGCACGCATTAGCGTGGTCGGATATGCGGAGATCAGCTAGCATGCAACCTACTTGTACAATCTGCAGCGTTTCTTGCATGATTCGACTTTTTAATAGAGGAAAAGCTTCCACGATTTCTATGAAACGGATGGGGGGGGGGGGCTATCAAATACTGCAGCATGTATGTAAATCAGGTGATATGAGTGAACGTGAAGTATATACTTCTGGCTTTGCACCAAGAACGCGTGTCCCGTAACGTATGTTTAAACTTAAAGGGACACCAAAGGCAACTAAAAAGTCCACGTTGATGGTTGAGATGGCGGTGCAGAAACCTTTTAGTATTACTTTTGTGTCAAGGAAGTGCTTATTTTGAAATAAAATCACGTTTTAGTGGTCCGCATCGGGTTAAGCACTTCAAATTACCCGCCTAAACCGCATGTCTCACGTCATGGCTGCCATGAACAACGTTGCCTCACTTTACTGCGTGGCCGCCGACACTTGTAGCAGCATAACAAAAGCAGCGGGAGCCACAACCGCAACAACAGCAATTCCACACTTTCCTGCCATTCACTCAGAGATCGCTGATGTTATCGGTTCAACCTGGCCCCACTAGATTTCATTACCTGTTCACTTTCACCAGGTGAAGATAAACTTTTGAAGCATTCGTGCAATTTTGCATATTTCCATCCTGTGTTCGTTTTTGTGCTTTTGTGGACTTTTCGCTGCAGTTGTGGGGTCTATCATTCCATACACAGCGGTGATGGATGTTCAACCTCACGAGGAGCCGTCCGAGTGCGCTTCGACAGCGGGACTATTTCAAGGAAGCGAGGAAAAGCGTCTAGTGAGAGTGACGACACTGAGCTGTACTCCTCATCAAATGACGAATCCTTGGACGACGGCTTCCAACCCACCTTGTACCGCAAGGCTAAACGATGGATCGTGAATGCATCTTCGGCATCAAGCACGCCACCGTGAAAATTGGCCCTCAGCGATGGCCTCGCTCTATCCTCTTTGTGCCGCTGAAGGCTACCGAAAGACTACGTAGGCTGAACAGGCAAGTGCTCTTTGTGTATCTTCAGAACATCACGCCAAATGAGATCAAGTACAACTAAACGCAAGAAGGAACATTTGGCAACCAATGTGCCGAGCCTACGTGTGGTGAACGCACTTCAGAAAGTATCGCAGCTGGGTAACGTCAGTGTCAAGTCTATAATACCAGCTGATAGCACCACTTCAACACGAGTCATTTGCGACACCACTACTGAAGTTCCAAACTCGGATCTTCCAGTGCTGATAAAACCAGAAAATGAAAATAACGTCATTGTGAATGGCGGCCGCCTTCGTAACACACGTTGTGTGAGAATTACGTTCAAAGGGGAATGTCACCCTCTCATGTGAAGGTTGGCCATTTTCGTAACCTGGTCCAACCATTTATTCTAGAACCTCTGCGATGTCATAACTGCCAGAACATCATCCATGTGCAGCGTGCATGCAGGAACTCCACAGTGTGCCCCCGATGCTCATAACCACACTCCTAGGACAAATGCAGCGCAACCATACTTAAGTGCCCTAATTGTCGAGGTGCTCACAATGCATCTTCCAAAGAGTGCCCGCCCATAAAGAAGGAGGTTACTATTCTTAGGCAAATGGTGCGAGACAGCTCTACCCACAAAGAGGCCGCTGAGAAGTCGAGCAATGACGATGACAGCACCGTCGAAGGTCTTCGCGAAGAACACAGACAACTACAAAATGTAAGTCAACGCATCTGAGAACGGCGCCCACAGCAGTGTACACCGCGGCAAGCGCAGACGATGGAAGAGAAAAAACGAGTAGATCTCTCTCTGCTGAACAGTGGCTACTATACATACGTGCGCGCCACTTGTGGAAGAACCACATCAGAAGCAGCCTCCCTCGGTGCAAGCTGCGATAACAGCGGGGCAGCGGCACTTGAATATGCAAGCGATTGCTCTTCTACGACCCTTAATGAATGCTATCCGCATGGTGCTAAACAACATGCACACAACGTCAGCCATAAGTGCACTTCAAGTACTGGACGCTCTGAGTCCAGTACTGGCAGCTCGTAAGTAGATAATGGCTCACCAACCACTGTCTTTCAGGGAAGAGGTCAGAAAAGCGACAATGTTACAGTGGAATGCACAGGGACTGACATAACGCATTGCAGACTTCCGTCGGTTCGTTTTCACCAATATGGTTCCCATCATCGGCATCTACGAGCCAAATTTATCGGGCTCTATCAGACTCCCCAGATACAAATAATTTACATCGGATTCTTTTATTGGAAACAGGAAAGTTCTGCTGTTTATTCACCGTGACCTGACTTACATTCTTCAGTCTTTACCAGCTGATAATGATAAGCAGTATGTATGCTTAACAGTGAATAAATGGGGTCCTACTGTCACTTTTTTCGGTGCCTACCTGTCGCCATCAAGTAATTTTGAATACAGAAGGCAAGGAAACATCCTATCATGCACTCCGGGCCCATGGGTCATCATCGGAGACTTTAACGCCCACCATACGCCATGGTCGAGCCCGAGGATCAGCGCAAAGGGCAGAACTCTGATAATGTTTGCTTCAGACAACGAGCTATGCTTGTTAAATGATGGCAATCCCACATTTTTACGCGGCCCTAGATACAGCTGCTGCCTTGACTTGGATTTTGTTTCTCGAAGTCTCGGCAGATGTGCCGGATGGTTTGCGGACATGGAAGCACACGGGAGAAAGCATATTCCCACATATGTCAAGATCAGAGGATTATCACCTAACAAGGTACGCGACAGTGCACAGCCAGGCATCGTGCAGGATGTGGAAGTGCTTGTCCAGGTACAATGCATTGACCATAATATCAATGAAGCCAATCAATGAGCTAGCACTAAAAGGGAAAGTACAGGAATTCAGAGTCTTGCTCCAGAACAGGTACTCGGCTCTTATCGAGGAAACCAACCTTAGCGTTGACGCAATGAATGATACTCTTTCGAGTATGATTACGGAGTGTGCAGTGGAAGTTGGAGGTACGGCACCTAGACAAGACACTGGCAAGCTGTCCCAGGAAATGAAGGATCTCTTTAAGAAGCGTCAAAGCATGAAAACCTCAAGTACAGCAGGCAAAACAGAGTTGGTAGAGTTTTCAAGTTGAATATTGAGCGTAAGGTATCCGATGTAAGAAGGTATAACATGGAGAGAATCTAACACGCTCTGAAGAACGAAGGAAGCGTCAAAGCAGTGAAGAGGAACCTTGGGATAGGCAGAAATCAGAATGTTTGCACTAAGAGACAAGGAAGGAAAATAGCTACCAATATGGATAGGGTAGTTAAACTAGCAGAGGTGTTTTACAGAGATCTGTACAGTATCCAGGACAACCACAGCCTTAATATAAGAACTAGCATTAACTACAGGTCGATCAGTTTGCTCTCTGTAGTATACAAGCTATTTACAAAGGTAATTGCTAACATTACAATTCAATCAACGAAAGAAACAAGCAGGATTTTGAACAGACTTCTCAACAATCGACCACAATCATACTATCTATCACGCATTAGAGAAAGGCTCAGAATATAGCCAACCTCAATACATAGCTTTCATAGATTACGAGAAGGCGTTTGATTCAGTAGAAATATCGGCAGTCATGCAGGCACTGCGGAATCAGGGCGTCGATGAAACATATACAAACATCCTGAAAGAAATATACAGTGGATCAACGGCTACCATAGTGCTTCATAAAGAAAGCAACAGAATACCAATCGAGAAGGGTGCAAGGCAGGGAAATACAATCTCCCCAATGCTATTTACCGCGAGCTTGCAGGAGGTATTGAGAGGACTAGAATGGGAACAGTTAGGCATAAGAGTTATTAGAGAGTTCATGAGCTATTTATGGGCTTAAAGCAGCACTGGCTTTGTGTAGATGGACATCAGCACCCGGGCGTGGTGAAATATCCTACTGAGCACTGGGTCACCTTAGTGAGTGTCACCTTAGTGAGCGTGCGAGAAGTGCCCTCCTCAAAATATACAATAATTCGCGGCGAGAAGGCACCCTCCCAGTAAACTGGAAGACCAGTCTTTTTGTTCCATTACTGAAGCCTGACAAGTCATCATTGGTGCTCACATCGTACCTCCCAATTGCACTGGCTAGTTGCTTGGGCAAAGGGATAGAGAGGATGGTACTAGGACGGCTAGAATGGTTCCTGGAGCATCACAACAGATGGTATGACGGGTTTTCGCCGTGGAAGATCATCAATTGATTGCGCCAAAGACCGGGGCAGCTACCTGCAACACGAAAAAAGCCCTAAGCGTCTCTGCGCTTCCTTATTTTTCTATTTTAAGAGGGCGTATGGTAACGTCCTTCATGAAGCCATCCTCACCGTTCTCAAAGAGGTAGGAGTGGGCGGTTGGATGTTTCAGTGGCTACACAGCTATCTCTCTGAGCGATCCTTTTTCGTGAGAACCTAGGATAGTGACCCCTCTCTGCATTACAGCCAACGTGGTGTTCCCTAGTGTGGCGTACATAGCCCTGTATGATTCAACCTTACGGTAATCGCTCTCCGTGAGCATCTGCCAAGTATTGTCAGATTTTCATTGTACGCGGACGACATCTGTTATTGAATGTCTGCAGTAACACGTCTACAGCAGCAAGAGCGAATTTCGAAAGCTGCCACTCAAGCTTCTATTTACCTGCGTAAATGAGGTCTTGAAATTTCCTGTGAAAAATGTGAACTAGTGGCATTTACGCACAAACCAATGCAGAACTACAGCGTTCTGATAAATAGCCAAAGAATACTTTACCTCCGACTGTACGCCCCGCCGCGGTGGTTAGTGGCTAAGGTATTCGGCTGTTGACGCGCAGGTCGCGGGATCGAATTCCGGCTGCGGCGGCTGCATTTCTGATGGAGGCTAAAAGGTTGTAGGCCCGTGTGCTCAGATAAAGGTGCACGTTAAAAAACCCCAGGTAGTTGAAATTTCTGGATCATCTACTACGGTGTCTCTCATAATGATATGGTTGTTTTGGGACGTTAAACCCTACATATCAATCGTCAATTAACCGCTGATCGTACAATTTCCTAGGTATTATAATTAAGAGAGACCTCTCATGGAGCCCACATGTATCATACATGAAAAGGCGGCTGACAGGCATGTGCCATTTGATCAAATGTTTCGCTGGAAAGAATTGGGGAATGTCCACAGCCGCTATGTTGCGACTTTACTGGGTTCTTCTTCTTGTATTCCTTCGGTGCAGCCTACCTGCGTTAACAAACGCAAGTAAAACAAATATACGAATACTTCCAAGTGTCCAGGATCAAGCACTACAGTTTGCCTAGGCTTGCCCCAAAGTGCATCAACAGCGCCAACTATCGCCATCACAAAAGACCACCTCATTAAGACCTACATTAATGTTGAAGTGCTGAGGACACATATCCACCACCTTACTCGAACTCCTTGACATCGCCTAGCCTCTCTACCAGTAGACCGACCACGCACATTTTACTGAAAAACAGTGACTGCACATCGCGAGTCGAACCCAACTTTGTTTTCTACTGCCGCTAGACCTGTGACTCCTCCATAGTACATCGCTCGACGAATTAATAATATTACCTTACCTGGCGTCCAGAAAAAAGCCAATTTGTTGCCACCGGCTCTTAAGCAGCTCACACTACTTCTCTTGTATGAAAAATACCAAGACTCCATACATATACATAGTGATGGATCGGTTCAGCCGAACAGCTCAACCAGAGCAGTCGTGATACCAAGGTTGGTCACGACAAATTAATTCAAGACATTCCACGAAACAACATGAACTGCAGCGGAATTGGGAGCTGTTCGTACCACGTTGAAATCCGTCATTCATCAACCTACACGCAAGTGGACGATTTTCTGCGACTCGAAGGTGGCACTGCAGTCTTTACTATCAGCTTTAAGCTGTGGGCCGCACGATCAGCTAGTACTAGAGATAGCAGAGGTTATACACCACCTGGCTGAAAAAGGGCACTAAATTACCTTTCAGTGGTTACACAGTCACTGCGGAATCATCGGCATTGAACGGGCCAATCAAGCTGCCCGCTCAGTCAACGCAGAAGATCATAACTACTACCACTTTCTAGGG